TAGATTCAGTGCCATCCCCATCAAGCTACCAATGACTTTCTTCACAGAATTGAAAAAAACTAAAGTTCATATGGAACTAAAAAAAGAGCCCACATTGCCAAGACAATCCTAAGCTAAAAGAACAAAGCTGGAGGCATCACGCTACCTGACTTCAAACTATACTGCAAGGCTACAGTAATCAAAACAGCATGGTACTGGTACCAAAACAGACATACAGACCAATGGAACAGAACAGAGCCCTCAGAAATAATACCACACATCTACAACCATCTGATCTTTGACAAACCTGAGAGAAACAAGAAATGGGGAAAGGATTCCCTATTTAATAAATGGTGCTAGGAAAACTGGCTAGCCATATATAGAAAGCTGAAACTGGATCCCTTCCTTACACCTTATACAAAAATTAATTCAAGATAGATTAAAGACTTAAATGTTAGGCCTAAAATCATAAAAATCGTGGAAGAAAACCTAGACAATACCATTCAGGACACAGGCATGGGCAGGGACTTCATGTCTGAAACACCAAAAACAATGGCAACAAAAGCCAAAATTGACAAATGGGATCTCATTAAACTAAAGAGCTTCTGCACAGCAAAAGAAACTACCATCAGAGTGAACAGGCAACCTACAGAATGGGAGAAAATTTTTGCAATCTACTCATCTGAAAAAGGGCTAATATCCACAGTCTACAAATAACTCAACCAAATTTACAAGAAAAAAACAAACAAGTCCATCAAAAAGTGGGCAAAGGATATGAACAGACACTTCTCAAAAGAAGACATTTATGCAGCCAACAGACATGTGAAAAAATGCTCATCACTGGCCATCAGAGAAATGCAAATCAAAACCACAATGAGATACCATCTCACACCAGTTAGAATGGCAATCATTCAAAAGTCAGGAAACAACAGGTGCTGGAGAGGATGTGGAGAAATAGGAACACTTTTACAGTGTTGGTGGGACTGTAAACTAGTTCAACCATTGTGGAAGACAGTCTGGTGATTTCTCAAGGATCTAGAACTAGAAATACCATTTGACCCAGCCATCCCATTACTGGGTATATACCCAAAGGATTATAAGTCATGCTGCTATAAAGACATATGCACATGTATGTTTATTGCAGCACTATTCACAATAGCAAAGACTTGGAACCAACCCAAATGTCCATCAATGATAGACTGGATTAAGAAAATGTGGCATATATACACCATGGAATACTATGCAGCCATAAAAAACGATGAGTTCATGTCCTTTGCAGGGACATGGATGAAGCTGGAAACCATCATTCTCAGCAAACTATCACAAGGACAGAAAACCAAACACCGGATGTTCTCACTCATAGGTGGGAATTGAACAATGAGATCACTTGGACACAGGAAGGCGAACATCACACACTGGGGCCTGTCGTGGGGTAGGGGGGCGGGGAGGGACAGCATTAGGAGATATACCTAATGTAAATGATGAGTTAATGGGTGCAGCACACCAACATGGCACATGTATACATGTGTAACAAACCTGCACGTTGTGCACATGTACCCTAGAACTTAAAGTATAATAAAAAATATTTTTAAAAAGTCAAAAAAAATTATCCTAGATTTCCACCAGGATACAATAAAACTAAACTTGCCATGTATAGTAAAGTACAATCAAAAAGTCTTATAGCCTGAGCTTTACCTAAAATATATTATATATTAATTTCTAACTTTAGGGCCAACATGTTATTCCTTTATGCGTGAACAAACAAAATTGATACCCCACAAGAACAGGCAACCAAAGCAAAAATGGACAAATGGGATCACATCAAGTTAAAAACCTTCTGCCCAGCAAAGGAAACAATCAACAAAGTAAAGAGACAAACCACAAACTGGGAGAAAATATTTGCAAACTACTCATCTGATGAGGAATCACTAATGAGAATATATAAGGAAAAAATCTAATAATCTGACATAAAAATGGGCAAAAGATCTGAATAGACATTTCTCAAAAGAAGACCTACAAATGGTAAACGGGTATCTAAAAAGGTGCTCAACATCATTGATTATCAGAGAAATGCAAATCAAAAACTACGATGAAATGTCATCTCACCCCAGTTAAAATGGCTTTTATCCAAAAGACAGGCAGTAACAAATGCTGGCAAGGCTGTGGAGAAAAGGGAATCCTGGTACGCTGTTGGTGGGAACGCAAATTCGTACAACCACTATGGAGAACAGTTTGGAGATTCCTCAAAAAACTAAAAATAGAGCCAACACATGATCCAGCAATCCCACTGCTAGGTATATACCCAAAAGAAAGGAATCAGTATATTGAAGAGATATCTGCACTCCCATGTTTATTGCCAAGATTTGAAAGCAATCTAAGTGTCCATCAACAGATGAATGAATAAAGAAAATGTGGTATATATAAACAATGGAGTGCTATTCAGTCATAAAAAAAAAAAAAAAAAAAAGAGAGACCTTGTCAGTTGCAAGAACATGGATGGAACTGGAGGTCATTATGTTAAGTGAAATAAACCAGGCACAGAAAGACAAACTTTGCATGTTCTCTCTTATTTGTGGGAGCTAAAAATGAAAAGAATTGAACTCATGGAGATAGAGAATAGAAGGATGGTTACCAGAGGCTGTGGGGGAAGGGCAGATGGCTAACAGGTACAAAAAAATAATAGATAGTAAGATCTAGTATTTGCTGGCACAATTGGGTGACTATAGTCAAAAATAATTTAATTATACATCTTAAAATAACTAAAAGAATATAATTGGATTGTTTGTTACACAAAGGATAAATACTTGGGGGAAAGGATACCCCCTTTACCCTGATTACCCATTGCATGTCTGTATCTAATTATCTCTTGTAACCCATAAACATATACACCTACTATATACCCACAAAAATTTTAAAAAGTTTTAAAGTCCTACATGGAGGGGAACATTTTTGATTTCTCACTTAGGATATTTGTAAATGAGAACTAGACATTGTTACTACAACTGTCCTAAATCTACTGTACCTATGAAACATTTGAAGAACCATTTACTTTATTTCCATGTATACACAAGATGTAGCTTTCAGGGCTCCAGCACATAAATGCCTAGGCTTCATTTCACAGCCCACCTCAATACCTGAGGTGAGGGCAGCAAGAAGCAGGATGGTAGAGAGTGGGCTCTGGAGTCAGCCTTCCAGTTTTGAATCCTGCTTCTACCCAACTTAGTTTTCTTATCTGTAAAATGGGGATAATTTTAGTAATTACCTCATAGGGCTGTTAGAAGATTCAACTAGATAATCCCACTAGGTCACTTAGCACAGTCGCTGGCAAGCAATATGTGCTCTCCAAGTGATGACGGCAATGCGTATGACAACAATGATGGTGAAAATGATGACCATGACTACAATTAGTGACTCATTGGTAGGGAGAGAGAGAGGACAATCTGACAATGTAAATATAAATTTGAAAAGAAGTAACAAAAACATACTATACAGAATGGGTCCTGATTGAGGGTTTATTTTTGCTACTGTAAGACAATAATATCAACCATGCGAGTCATTCATTCATCATTCCCCTTTGCACACACTGTGACAAAATTCTGTTTTCTGTCTAATAGAATGTGAATTCTTTGAGAGAAAGAGTATATTGTATATTGACATGAATTTGTATCCTGGAAACCAGCATGGTACTTGAAATGTGGAAAGTAATCAACAAATATTTATTGATCTCTTTTAAGCAACAATTACTGCCTGAGCATTGCCTGCCATGTGACCGGCACTGATGTGCTGGGTGCTAAGGACGCATGCCTGGCTCACTGGAGGAGATCAATGGAGGAACAAGTCAATCACACAAAGCCAGAATATTCTCTTTAATATGTCAGAACAGTAGAAATCTTGCCTGTCACATATAAATAAATCTGACTTATTTCCTGCGATGTCCACTCTTGATAGTCTGAGGCTAAGCTAAGAGAACTTACAGACTCCAAGAAGCCTCACCCAATGCTGGCTTCACTTGAGGAATGGAGCAGGAAACAGCACAGCAGGAGGAGCACTCCCAGAAGTCCATGGGTTAGTTTTAAGGGCCTGAGTCACAGGTCAGATATGAGGGCCTGAGACCATACAGGTGGGTGCAGAAGCCTCCCTGGCCCCTACACGTCAGGAACTATTTCTACTGAGCCACGGCTCTCGGGTCCCAGCAAGCAGAGTGCCCCATTGCAAGTCAGGGCACCCATGAAGCCCGAAGCTATGCCTCCTCCCTGCACAGTCAGATTCACTCCTGGTCCTCCCTGTCCATATGCACTTACCAATCATAAGCCCTTCTTAGCATCAGCGGTGTTACCTGGTCACACAGCTAGCACTTCTAGCAGGTTTCCAGGATAACAGGGCTAGAAAGTTAACCCAAGATCATTTTGTTCATAGAGGAGAAAATGCTTTTGTTAACTTGTACTCCCAGGGCCCCATTCCTGACCCCTCTGAGCTTCCCAAATCTTACTAGAAATCACCAAGGAGAGGTTCCTGATGCACCATAAACTCATTGTGTATGAGACCCATGTAATTCTCTCCTCTCTCCCTGCCTAACCTCTCACGTTCCCTATTTTGATGAAGACAATCATTATCCATCCAATCCTCCCTTGCACAGACTCCATGCATGACCTCTTCCATTCCAAACTCCTGAGCTCTGAGAAAATCAGGGCTCTTCAGAACCTAAACCTGGTTAGCTCTAGCCGCTTCCACACACACCGAACCCTTTAGACACAGGCTATTTGCCAGCATCATTAGAAAATACAGCCTTTGTTCAGATCTGGAATATCCTTCCACTCCTGGCATCTGTCCAAATAAGTCTTCAGACTCTTAAAAAACCAACTCGAGTGTCACCTCTGGGAAACCACAAATTAATCTCCAGTACTAACCAATCCCTCCCTCTTCTCCTGCAGCCCATGTGAGGCCTCCGCTGCAGCACTGCCCACCTTACTGTGGCCGCCATTACCCACAGAGCTGCTGGTAGAAAGGAAAACGTGCCTTACCCATATTGTTTCCCCAGAGCTATGGGCGCATCTCTGCACACAGCGTAGCGCACAGTCTGCGAGCTTGAATCCAAATGGGAGCATTGAAGCTGGACCTTAAGACATAGGTGGAACTTCAGACAGGCAAACAAGGGGGAAAAAAGGCCCAGACAGTGAAGACACATTTGGGGAACAGAGAGTCTACTTTGCTGACACGTGGATTCTTGGACGCAAATAAACATTCAAGATTTGCTGTGATCATGTCCCGACCTAAGAAACTTAATCTTTATTCAGTAGGAAATGGTAGTAACTCACTATTGAAACTATGCGAGGGACTTTTCAAATGTTTGAAAGGTTGCACCACAATGCAGTCCCCTAGGTATGATTATTTCTAAATGATAAAATGCATAGATATTTGAGTAACAAAAAAAGTTTTCTCAAATCAAGGCTATAAAAGCTCAACAAAGGGTGTAGTGTAAAAAGTAGTAGGACTGTTGTATGCGATTTCAACTATCCTAATACACGGCCTTTTAAATGAAGGACAATTTTCAAGGCTGTATAGTGTGTGCCAACAGATCGATACGAATGTCATCGTTGACTTCCGAAGCTCCCTTCATGCCCTGTTATCACAGAGCATCAGTCATTAATATGAGGTTATGAAGACCTGGTGATCCAAAGGCACAGCTCGCCACTGAATGACAAATGAGGGGAGCTGGGGCAACCAACATGCCAAATAATACAAGGATTTGCTGTCAATTTCAAGCAGTTGGAGGCTAAGAAAAATACTACACAAGACCCAATGTACTCTTTCCAATTCTCATGTTTTTGGAAATGAACAATAAAAGTTATTCTATGTGATTATAACCTTTCCTTCTTCCTTCCCCCATTTTGCCAGGAACAGACTGACATTCCAACTAATCAACCCCAGAATCGTTTTTACACACCTCGTATGTCAAGAGTATTCTCTCAGACACTGTAAGGCAAAGAGGAAAAGAAAATACTTACAACAAAGTTCCTGCCATGGAGAAATATGTCTCACTGGAAATAAAATGGGAAAAGTTAAGAAATAAAATTGGGAATATTTCCAAGATGTGTCATTGAACAAAAAAAGCAAGGTGCAAGCTAAGGTCTATATAGTTTGCTCCTATTTGCATAAAAATGTCTATGGGATATACAGGTGTCTGGATGAAAATTTTCTGAATGATACACAAAAATTGTTGCTGCCAGCCGACATGATGGCACTTGCCTGTGGTCCCAGCTACTCAAGAGGCTGAGGTTGCTTGAGTCCAGGAGTTCTGGGCTCTAGTACGCTATGCCAGTAGAGGGTCCACACTAAGTTCAGCAACATTATGGTGACCTCACAGGAGCAGGGGACCACCAGGTTGCCTAAGGAGGGATGAACCCACCCAGGTCAGAAATGAACCAGGCTTAAATTCCCGTGCTGATTAATAGCAAGATGACACCTGTGAACAGCCACTGCACTCCAACCTGGGCAACATAGCAAGACCTGGTCTCAAAAAAAAAAAAAAAAAAAAAAAATTGTTGCAGATGTTCACCTCTGGAGAGAGGGTCTGGTCGGTGGGTTCAGAAAGACATTTTTAATTCTACACCACCTTATACTGTTTGCTTACCATGTGTATGTGTGTATGTGTTTCTTTAATTTTTTAAAATTGTAAATATTACAAACAAAAGCAACACCACAAAGTAATACATAATTACACAGCGAGTGAATAGGAGAGAAACCAACATTTATTGACGACCTTGTAGGAGCCAGGCATAACTCCCTACCACCTCCCACTCACGACAGGCTCACGGGTGTGGTGATGATGTTTCTGGCCCCTGGAAACCAGCCTGCAACCTCTCCGCATGCTGTTCTGCCACCTCAGGCAAACCCACAGTTGGCTCTGGCTCTGAGCTTTTTCTAGCATATGGGATGTGGCCAAATTTGGACGGTTTCCCAGGGAGGGTAAATAGCGTGTTGGAGATTGAGTTGAAACAACCAAACTCCTTTTTAGCAAGCCAATAGGATCAATCCCGGGCCTGTAAAGTACCACCCAAATCGTCTGTAGTTCCTTTGACTGCTTCTTTCATCTTGAAAGCTATGAAACAAACATATCCTTTACAACTTAATATATGCTGCTTTCAGAACGATTTACCCCATGTGGAAACCAAATATGCAGAGCTTGCTCACTTTATTTCTGTGGATGGAAGGAAGTGCTTTCTATTAATATCATTGTTAATAAAAACAAATGAAACATACGATTTCTATGAATTACAGTGAATGTATATTTTTATGAAACTTTTATCTAATACTGCCCTCTGGTGGACAATTCAGTAAAACTTGTGCTAAAAATAGATTTTTTTTAAAATTTAAGTTGCCATGTCAAGGCTAGAAAATTAAGTCTTAAGATGTGTTTTAAAAGAGAATAAAATAAATATAGGCATATCTTTTGAAATTAGATATTCACCACTTAGCAATCATTTCAGTTACCTCTGTCTTCCATAAAATGGTGACTTTGTCATTGTTTTCTTAAATATTTACTTTGCTGGGAAAGCTTTACTTTAACACACAAATATAGACTATTTTCCAAGGGAAACCTGAGTTAACCTCAAAAGACCCAACAATTTTTTTAAATGTATACTCTTTAATAAAAGTTACATCTAGAGCTGTCTGGATATGCATAATCATTTTTAAATCATCTATCCGCAGTTCTGAGTTTTCTTTTTTTTTTTTTTTTTTTTTTTTTGAGAAGGAGTCTCGCTCTGTCGCCCCGGCTGGAGTGCAGTGGCCGGATCTCAGCTCACTGCAAGCTCCACCTCCCGGGTTCATGCCATTCTCCTGCCTCAGCCTCCCGCGTAGCTGGGACTACAGGCGCCTGCCACCTCGCCCCGTTAGTTTTTTGTATTTTTTAGTAGAGATGGGGTTTCACCGTGTTAGCCAGGATGGTCTCGATCTCCTGACTTCGTGATCCGCCGGTCTCAGCCTCCCAAAGTGCTGGGATTACAGGCTTGAGCCACCGCGCCCGGCCAGTTCTGAGTTTTCATATTGTTGAACCACAGCTTGAAAGTACAGCTTTTACAACGCAAGGGCATTTCAGCAAGAAAGCAGGAGGAGGCCTGGGTTTGGTATTCCTCCTCCGGACTTATCAGCAGCCACTCAGAAATGCTTTTGCTTTTCTGCCTCATTGCCTGAAAGCCATTCATCATTTAGTTTAATATAAATGGGGAGCCAAACATATATACACAGCCAAGTTTTCTATGCTTTACAAATTATCATTTTCCAGCCAGGTCATACTGTGTATTTACAGTATACTTCTACCATCCTCACCCCCTGCCTCCACCCTAGAAGGCCAGATTACTTTACCCAAACCTTCACAGAGCTATTCTTAACCCTACTGCCTACATGCACAGGAGGAGGAAGGAGAACCCATGGGAGCTGAGCAACCTTCCAGCGCCTGGGGCAGAATCCCTGCAGCCGATCCCAACTCCCGTTCCCATGCCTCATCCCCTAGATGGCTTTGACACCCTACCCATGCAAAGACAGGGAGAAAAAAATACGTTTAAAATCTCAAAGCCCGTGCGTTTGGCACAGCAGGCTCTGCTCCACTTACCTTTCTAAGCTGCGGTGCTCGGCGTCCTGTTGCCTGTGACCTCCTCCTCCCGCGCTGACCTACGGTAGCTCAGATGTGCTCCCATGGCTCAGGTGAGCCCCGCACACCGGAGGAGGTGCCAGGCGGGCGGCGCTGATGGGACCACGCTCGCCTCCCCTTCCAGGCCTGCCCTGCTGCTCCCCAGGGACGTTCCTCCCGGTAGGAGGTGAGGTCAAGGTGAAAACACAGCTGAGCTCAGCCAGTGCCCCAAAGTGGCCTTTACAGCCTTACACCCAGCTCAGCCACCCGGCCTCACACTCCAAATTCAGTGTTATTTACCCTGTCTCAGCCCACCATCCCCGTCCTCCTTACATTCCACATTTAAAATTGCAAAAGCGTAAGCAAACACCCCAATGACACCCTTTGTTTGAAAAGTGTGATGCCTCCAGCTTTGTTCTTTTGACTTAGGATTGTCTTGGAGATGCGGGCTCTTTTTTGGTTCCATATGAACTTTAAAGCAGTTTCTTCCAATTCTGTGAAGAAACTCATTGGTAGCTTGATGGGGATGGCATTGAATCTATAAATTACCTTGGGCAGTATGGCCATTTTCACGATATTGATTCTTCCTATCCATGAGCATGGTATGTTCTTCCATTTGTTTGTGTCCTCTTTTATTTCACTGAGCAGTGGTTTGTAGTTCTCCTTGAAGAGGTCCTTTACATCCCTTGTAAGTTGGATTCCTAGGTATTTGATTCTCTTTGAAGCAGTTGTGAATGGAAGTTCATTCCTGATTTGGCTCTCTGTTTGTCTGTTACTGGTGTATAAGAATGCTTGTGATTTTTGCACATTAATTTTGTATCCTGAGACTTTGCTGAAGTTGCTTATCAGCTTAAGGAGATTTTGGGCTGAGACAATGGGGTTTTCTTTTTTTTTTTTTTTTTTTTTTTGAGACGGAGTCTCGCTTTGTCGCCCAGGCTGGAGTGCAGTGGCCGGATCTCAGCTCACTGCAAGCTCCGCCTCCCGGGTTTACGCCATTCTCCTGCCTCAGCCTCCCGAGTAGCTGGGACTACAGGCGCCCACCACCTCGCCGGGCTAGTTTTTTGTATTTTTAGTAGAGACGGGGTTTCACCATATTAGCCAGGATGGTCTCGATCTCCTGACCTCGTGATCCGCCCGTCTCGGCCTCCCAAAGTGCTGGGATTACAGGCTTGAGCCACCGCGCCCGGCCTGACAATGGGGTTTTCTAAACATACAATCATGTCATCTGCAAACAGGGACAGTTTGACTTCTTCTTTTCCTAACTGAATACCCTTGATTTCTTTCTCTTGCCTAATTGCCCTAGCCAGAACTTCCAACACTATGTTGAATAGGAGTGGTGAGAGAGGGCATCCCTGTCTTGTGCCAGTTTTCAAAGGGAATTTTTCCAGTTTTTGCCCATTCAGTATGATATTGGCTGTGGGTTTGTCATAAATAGCTCTTATTATTTTGAGGTACGTTCCATCAATACCGAATTTATTGAGCGTTTTTAGCATGAAGGGCTGTTGAATTTTGTCAAAAGCCTTTTCTGCATCTATTGAGATAATCATGTGGTTCTTGTCTTTGGTTCAGAACAAAGCTGGAGGCATCACGCTACCTGACTTCAAACTATACTACAAGGCTACAGTAACCAAAACAGCATGGTACTGGTACCAAAACAGAGATATAGACCCATGGAACAGAACAGAGTCCTCAGAAATAATACCACACATCTACAGCCATCTGATCTTTGACAAACCTGAGAGAAACAAGAAATGGGGAAAGGATTCCCTATTTAATAAATGGTGCTGGGAAAATTGGCTAGCCATAAGTAGAAAGCTGAAACTGGATCCTTTCCTTACTCCTTATACGAAAATTAATTCAAGATGGATTAGAGACTTAAATGTTAGACCTAATACCATAAAAATCCTAGAGGAAAACCTAGGTAGTACCATTCAGGACATAGGCATGGGCAAAGACTTCATGTCTAAAACACCAAAAGCAATGGCAGCAAAAGCCAAAATTGACAAATGGGATCTCATTAAACTAAAGAGCTTCTGCACAGCAAAAGAAACTACCATCAGAGTGAACAGGCAACCTACAGAATGGGAGAAAATTTTTGCAATCTACTCATCTGACAAAGGGCTAATATCCAGAACCTACAAAGAACTCAAACAAATTTACAAGAAAAAACAAACAACCCCATCAAAAAGTGGGCAAAGGATATGAACAGACATTTCTCAAAAGAAGACATTCATACAGCCAACAGACACATGAAAAAATGCTCATCATCACTGGCCATCAGAGAAATGCAAATCAAAACCACAATGAGATACCATCTCACACCAGTTAGAATGGCGATCATTAAAAAGTCAGGAAACAACAGGTGCTGGAGAGGATGTGGAGAAATAGGAACACTTTTACACTGTTGGTGGGATTGTAAACTAGTTCAACCATTATGGAAAACAGTATGGCGATTCCTCAAGGATCTAGAACTAGATGTACCATATGACCCAGCCATCCCATTACTGGGTATATACCCAAAGGATTATAAATCATGCTGCTATAAAGACACATGCACACGTATGTTTATTGCAGCACTATTCACAATAGCAAAGACTTGGAATCAACCCAAATGTCCATCAGTGACAGATTGGATTAAGAAAATGTGGCACATATACACCATGGAATACTATGCAGCCATCAAAAAGGATGAGTTTGTGTCCTTTGTAGGGACATGGATGCAGCTGGAAACCATCATTCTTAGCAAACTATCACAAGAACAGAAAACCAAACACCGCATGTTCTCACTCATAGGTGGGAACTGAACAATGAGATCACTTGGACTCAGGAAGGGGAACATCACACACAGGGGCCTATCATGGGGAGGGGGGAGCGGGGAGGGATTGCATTGGGAGTTATACCTGATGTAAATGACGAGCTGATGGGTGCAGCACACCAACATGGCACAAGTATACATATGTAACAAACCTGCACGTTATGCACATGTACCCTACAACTTAAAGTATAATAATAATAAATAAATTTAAAAAAAAAAAAAAAGTGTGATTTTTGACATCCAAGAAGGAAAGCAGAAATAACTTGGAGAGAATTCAGATTCCCATAGCACAGTTTTAGGAGAGATTCCTCAGTCGACCTGCCTGGGCCCCACCCACCCAGCCCCAATGTAATGCTCCCTGAGTTTCCTGCTATGCAGCTGTTATTATCGCTTCTATTATAAAACTCTTTCTCTTAACTTACAATTATCACCCCTTTCATCTTTGCTGAGGGGGTTCCCTTTGATCCAGAGGGTGGCTTCTCCCTGCTATGAGCCTGGAGACCACAGTCAACTGGCATTGCTGCCACACTTTCTTAAACTTTTCCAAATATTTTTATCTGTCCTTCTCCGGCTCACTTTTTCTTGCTGGGAGAAGCACATGCAGGGGGGAAGTGCTGCATGTGAACCAAGTTTATTTTTTTTAAACACAAACACCTATGATAAGATGGCATGGACTTTAAAAATATATAATGGATAAAATAATGCCTTGCACAGGTTTTGCTTAAAGCAGAAAGAGGAGAGGGAGTGGGGTGGAAGAGAAAGAAGGGGAGGGGTGGGAACAATGAGAAAGGAAGAGGGAGAAGGAGAGAGAGGGAGAGAGAACCTTCTCGCATCAGGCCACCTAGGAATAAAGGAGGGAAGAACCCTCAGGCCTCTTCTCCATAATCTGTGGACCAGCCGCACACCATGCAGGACCCAGTACAAAATGAAAATGAGTGGCCTTTTGTTCAAAAATGAGGAAGAATTTCAAATGACAGCAGAGCATCAAACTAAGAATGAGTTCTTCTAAGTCCTCTTCGATTCTGCTACACCAGTCCCACGCCCACGAAGCCAGCTCTGCTTCCTACCAGAAATCAAACAGCAGCCTTGCTGTAGGAGCTACTATTTTGGATTTTTTTCTCCATTGTGGACAGCCCGGCGACAGTGACTGGCTTGTCCCGGTCTGCCTGGGACTATCCTAGGTGTAGCAGTGAAAAATCCCACATACTGGTATTCCCCTTGGTCCCAGGCAAATCAAGAAAGTTGGTCACCTTCCCCTGCTGTATGGACCTGTTTTAATGACAAAGCTATCCTCTGACTTTCCACCGCTCCTAACTCCTTCATGTCAGAACCAGCAGTGGGTTTAGGCCAGTCCCCATCTCTGCAGCTGGTAGGAAGTTATTCCAAGTGCCCACAGATTTCTTCCTTTATTTATCATGTCCCCAGACAGGAGGCTGCTGAACCATGATTCTGAGCTCATGTGTGTCAGAAGGATGACAATGGTGATCATATGAAGCAGAACCTGTTAGACGTTCCTGTAACTCAACTTTAGGAAGAAAACTGCATTTCAGGGTTTGGTGGTGGTACATTTCACAATCTTTTTGTTTTAAGGTGTGATAATACTCTAATGATTGTGTAAAATGTTATCTGTCTTAAAACAATCACGTATTATGTAATGTCTGTCTGTGAAACAAATTATTTTTTAATTCATTAAAATTAACACAAAACATACCCATGTAAACCTAATGAACTGCCATTTTGTTCTGGAGGGACAATATAAGCTAAAAATTGAACTTCACAGGCTCATTTATTGTTAAACATGAATGGAGCCTGGGCATAGTGGCTCATGCCTATAATCCTAGTGCTTTGGGAGCCCAAGGCAGAAGGTTCACTTGAGCCTAGGAGTTCAAGACCAGGCTATGCAACACAGGGAGACCCCTTCTCTACAGAAGAAAATTAGCCAGGCATAGTAGCACACACCTGTAGTCCTAGCTACTCAGGAGGCTGAGATAAGAAGGTTGTTTCAACCCAGGAGTGTGAGTCTGCAGTGAGCCAGGATCCTAGATGCAGAGTGAGATCCTGTCTTTAAAATAACACACAAAAAATTTAAAAATTACTTGAGCACTCACCAAGCACTTTGCTGGGCCTGCTGATATCTTGATGAATACAGTGCCATCTCCTCCTTGGAACTGCTTATAGGTTAATACTTAGATGTTCTTAGTAATGTACTAATGCGAAGATTAGTCCATTTCCTCCTTACACAGTTACTCAGCCATGCTTGAGTTTGCCTGCTGCCCCCTACTTCATAATTTCTCCCCACATAGTTAACAG